AATAAATATTATTTTTTATTAAATAATATAAATTTATATAAAAAAATTATCACTAAATCATTTTCGATCTGTATAGCACTAATATTAATAAATCAATTTCCACGCCAGTTTCCACCACCTTCAATGGGGTAATCATGCCGATGGAGTGTATCGAGACAACTCCTAACCAAATCAGATGCATATTTAGGGTGAAAGGAAAAAAAGAAAAAGTTGAAACACGTGGGCTAGTGAGGTTTTAAAAAAGCATGTGAATTCCAATTTTGAAAAAGAAAATGGTCCCTAAATTTAAAATAGACTTCATAGCATTACTATTAGAGCATGAATGTTCTCTTTGGTTGGGTGCAGCCCGCGCAGCCCTTCTTCATCGTAAATTTGAATTGAAAAAAAGAAAAAAGCCTTCGGATTTGATTTTTCAAACCCATTTTGAAACTTCTAATACCCAAAATCCCATATGGCAAACACCACCACACACCTTTGCTCATGTTTGTTGGCAACAGACCAAAATTTCGTTCCCTTTTCCACCATATTTAGATCTCCATTGCCAATTTGTCACCAATCTTATCTCAGCATGGAGAAAATTAGAGTTTCTCTAAATTTAGAGTCTCTCCAAACCATGATCATCTATCTCGCTATGTTATTTGTTTCTTCAAAAGGAAAATCATTGCAACATTGTGGTCTAGTTCTAATTGTCAAAAGGGTATAATTGCTACTAAGGAAATAAATTTGATTTTTTTTAAATGTGAAAAAAAGGTAATAGTGTTGTAGCACACGTGACTCTTCATTTTTTTAATAAATTGTAATATATAAATGCGTATGAGTTTTGTATATCTAATTAAGACTATATGAAATTTCAAAGATGATTGTGATAGATCAACTACAATATAATATGTTAAAATGTTGAATACGAAGTATTTAATCAAAAAAATGTATGGTATTGAAATTGAGGGTAGATGGTATTAGTGATTGGAAAAGTAGAATGAATTATTTCCAAACATGTGACTGGCAGAAAGAATGAAATAGCAGCCATTACTAATAAGCACATTTTTGTCCACATCTGAGAAACCAGACTTAGGTTAGGTTAAAGAAGCTATCAATGGCAGCCCCTGATCATTTTGATCTTGATATATTGTAATAATATTATTTCCCTTTTTTATATCGAATTTTAAATGCCTTTTTATAGCTGCCATTGTTGAAAGGTAATGCACTCATGCATGGGATGATTTTTGCAGCAGTAATACATATGCCATCAGAGGGGAAAGAAAAGGAAAGGGAAAAAGAAAAAAGGAGGACGAGATTATACCCATGATCCATGTTGGTTAAACCATGGATCCATGTCCTTTTTTATAATTGTCTACATCAATATGTATCTTCTTCAATGAGTTCTATAGAGTGAAGTTTTCTTTTGAATGATTATTGTTACTTTTGTCTTGAATTCCAAGAAGCAGCAGCAATTGTTGAATGCTAAACTGAATGTTGCATTAATCTATAGAAACTTGCTGGATACAAACAACTCTATAAGTCAATATATCACTAACCCTTCTTAAAAACAGACAATTAGTTGTCAACAATCCTTCTCACCTTATTGTCCTCAAGCTTTGATAAATCAGTTCCAGAGAAAATTTTAGGGCAGCCAACATCCAAACCCTCTCATCTCAGGTTAACATGCAACATATTAACATATGCCTCAAAACACATTTCCCCATGCAAACATTAACAGTCCAGTTCTACTGTCTCTGTAGTCTGTACTAATGTGATATATTGTATTCAATCATTGTTTCAAAGCCAAAGCAAAGAAAAGTACAGCAGCAACAAGGATTGAGAGCAAGAGTACTCACAGAATTCACTGCTTTTATTGTCAATTCCATAGACTGAAAACAATGGAACTCGTTATTTGCCTATATGATGTTATGTATCCCTTCCCTAGACCTAGCATTTCACCAAGCTAACGTGCACGGGAAGAAGGAATTACATGTAAGATCGCATCCGAGGCCTAGTTATAGACATGGCTCCATCAACATAGATGGTTGTCCCAGTCATATAGCGCGAGCCATCACTGATTAAATAGATGACAGTTGAAGCCAGATCATTTTTGACATCAAGCCATCTATGTAGGGGCACTGCATCCTTGACCAGCTTCTCTGCCCTGTCCTTTCCAACTGACCTTGGATATTCATCCTCTACGTGCAAGCCACGAGCAATTGCATTAACCCTGATGTTGTGTTTACCAATCTCCATAGCAGATAACTGTGACCACCAATAAAAGATGTTGACATAAACATACCATATGGGGTAGAGCTAAGAACCAAAAGGGGGAAACATGAACAGATAGATTGGAAGGAGAAACCATAGTTCATGATTTTTCTCACTGAACACGTACAATAAATGAATTTTTTTGGGAGAAAAATAGGATAAATAATTAGATATCCAAAGCTTGGTAGAGAAGTTTAATTTCAAAAGAAACCTAGTCCGGCAAAGGAATATTGATGATTTTACTTACCTTCACTAACTGCTGGACTCCTGCCAAACATGAACCATATGCAGCAGCACCTGAATAAAGTCCTCTCCCAGCACCAATAATTGAGTTCAAGAATACAATAGAACCCCCTGATTTGCAGTCCCGCATTCTTTTGCCAACTGCTTTTAACAAAAACCACGCAGCCATAAAATTTATTTTTACTATTTTTCTGAACTCATCTTCAGCCAACTGCAGAGGATCTTGCATTTTTCCTGTTTCACAAAGTCAGAGTCCATATAATGCACAGGGATAGGATCTAAAATATGGCAATACCAGTGACTCAATTAACTGAAAAAAAAAAAAAGAGTCTATGCACTAGTTTTGTATTTAACTTGCCATTGTGCCTGGGATGGGAAAATCTTTTAGTCCAAAGGAAGAGACACATATAGTTTACTGACGCAATACATGCACACATATACCTATATTTTCATTTCATTAATAAGGTCTTAAACTACCCTAATCAGCAACTATAATCATGGACTGAACTAAAACTCATGAATTGCATTACATCAAAAGAAGATGAGATATATAAAGATCTTCCACCCAGAAGTTATTTTTGTAACTCCCACAATATGTACATTAGACAATAACCTCCCTTGTTATTGAAAATGTGATAACAACAGTCAACTCTCTTCCTCTTATCATGTGTATAGGTTTCCACAGCGCCTACCAAACCAAAATTTGGCATTACTAATGTTTACTAATTACATAGCAGTTGAACCATTTTAAATTCTCAGTCAAGAATTTGGATTTCCATTTACGCAATCCATTGTCCTTTTCAATTGGTTATGGTTATGGAGCTGCAAGATGTTACAAAACTGTAACTAATGATAGATAGAACAAAAAAACAAAAACAATGTATCACTCCCGTCAAAACTTCAAACTCTTAACACAATGTGAAATGTACATAAACTATTCAGTTCTATTAGCCATTTAAAATGAGGTATGTTTTTTATTTAAAGAGCCCACCATGTTGTTAAATCCCTCACTTCAAATCAAAACTGTTAGTCTTTCTCTCCTTTTCCCTTCTCACCTAATTTTTTTTTTTCTCTAAAAATAAGGCAACACTGATTCATGAAATTTAATTTTTTTTAAATAATAATAATAACAGAATGAATACTAACTGAAAGTTTGGATTGGAGGTATCGGACGGAGAGGGAGGGAAAGGGATGGGGAGCAAGGGGAGGTTGTCCCTTTCCCCCTGTTTGGGTTTTCAAAGAGGCAGAAGGGGAGGGAGATCGACGGACTTGAACTCTCTTCAACCACCCTCAACTCTGCAGATTTGCAATCCTCCTGATTTGGGGGGTTTAGGAGGGATTGCAGGGCTGTTTAAATTAGATTAAAGATAATTATAAAATTGACCTTTTTAACTATTATCATAAATTGTCCTCCTCCTTCTTAAAGAGTAAATTTATAAATTTAAAATTAATTTAAATCATTCTCTTCCTTTTACTTTAATTATTCAAACATAAAAAATACAATCTTTCCCTTTCCTTCCCCTTCCTCATTTTTATTTATCCAAACAAAATTAACACAAATCATTTCCTTCCATTTTCTTCCCTTCCCTTTCTTTTCCTTCCCCTCCATTTCCTTCTATTTTCCTCCGTCCCCCTCCCTACCCTTCCCTTTACTATTTTCTATCCAAACAGTACGTAAGAGATGATATGCAAATTATCACAATGTAGTATATCAAGTTCTGAAGTAAGGTTATGTTCTATAAGCCATTGAATATCCAAAAATCAGAATTGGAAAATTTATGAAGCAAGAAATAAGAGAGAATATGAAAGAAAGATTGCCTAATAAATGTCTCTGTTTTTTTAGGTGCAACTAATAGATAGATGTCCCTGTTTATTTTAGGTGTAACTAATAGATGTACCTTACCTTCAAAAGCATAACAATGCACAAAAGCATCTAAGTTGCCCAAAATCTTCAATGCCCGATCCACTGCCTCATCAAAAACTCCCTCCCTCTGCTCTTCCATATCCAAACCAACCACCTCCACAGGCACCACAGCCTCCGCCATACTCATTATCTTATCTCTCAAACTCCTCAGACAAAACTCATTTCCCATCAAAACCAACCTAATCAGAATGGAAAAGAGTTCAGCTTTAAACTGTAAAAGAACCAAAAAAAAAAACCCTCATAAACTATACAGTTCAATCATTTTCTTATCCATTCACTCTCTTCTCTGAGTAATTAGCAAGAAAATGTCAGAATCCAGAATCTGGACGATGTAAAGATTCGATTTTTCTTTCTGGTTTTATAGTAACCAAACATGTAAACAAGATAGAGACTCAAAAAAATCGAAAGTTCGGAGTTAACCTGCAACCCCGCTTGACTAAATGCAGGGCAATGCTCTCTGAAATCTCATCCCCATTGGAAGTGAGCAAGACTTTCTTCCCTTGGCTTCCCATCTCTGGCCTGAAACCAACTCTGCCCACCAAAGATCAACATGCCACAAACATCAAATGATCAAAACCCACAAAGATTCAGAATCAAACAAAATAACACAGAGAAGACCACCCCATTACCGTTACAAAAGTTTTGGCCCTTCAGTGGAAGAGTCGTCATCACACTGACATCCAGTTTTATAGTAGTACACTGGTTTGTATGCCCAACAAACAAAATAGTAATCCTGGTATGAACTCACAATTCTTCT